CCGAATGGCTTTTTGCTGAAGTTGGCAGAAATCTTGCATAAACACAAGGTTGTTCTGCAAGCAGAAAAGTTAACAAATACCAGACCAATCTTGAAAACATTTGCACGCGCCAAATTCAGTGAAGAAACATCATCGTGTCATCTGCCTGCTCCCGAACTAGCACCTTTGCCATGAAACAACAGAACTGAGATATATGGCGATTCTGATGCTATTAGAATGCTCTGCTATGTGAGGAAAGGCACTAACAGAAACACAAAATAGTTATTCTTATTGTGCCTTTCACAAACAAACCAACACGCCCTTTCTTTGCTGAATGTTTAAGATGACATAGCTGGGAGGGGACCTTCCTTCTGTTTTTGGCTTCCTGTTGGGAGAGTACAGAGAAAGGGAAAGAGACTCTTCTCAGACACAGAGTGACAGGAGATCACTGTGCATTTTTGTGTTTATTTTACAAAATTGACATGAGGCAAGCATGTTCTGTCTTCCTGAATTTTCATTGGATCTGCAGCCGTGCAACATTCTCATAGGCTAGAGTCCCAGGAGTATAAACGTGCAAGTGTCAAAACAATCCTACAAAGTAGTTACAGCAGATCATTTGAATAGTTGGAATGTTCTCAAATTGCAAATAAAACTGTTTGCTTCACTTTTCATTTAAGATTAATAATTAACTACTGAGTGGAATTCACATTTCTATATTTTAAATATTTTCATCCCTTACAGACATTCTCTTAAAATGCTTTCTCCTTTTCTTGTCCCTTGCTCAAGTTCTCCAGATTGTTATGCATTCTCAAGTTTAGCATTATAAGACTCAAAGAACTACTGCTTCCTAAAATTTCCACACATAGTGTGTCAACATTGCATTGTTCTGTTGTTCTTTTTTCCCAGTCCTCGTGCCACAAACCACTTTCCCACTTCCCTCCCACTTTGGCTCACAGCCAACTATGTCACTGAACACCCATTTCTGAAAGATGACTGCAGTCATCTTGAAATATGAAGCAGTATTCATGCACCTTTTAATACCAGATAAACACCATACCTTTCTGATGAAATTTCCTGAAGTCCACACTTATTTTCCTGGAACAAACATTTCCAAAGAGGTCTGACACTGATGAATTCAAAAGGACAAGCAACAAAATATTGCTTTACCTTTAACGACACATTTTGGGTATTTCAGTCTCCCATGGTTACACTGCGTCCTCCCAGGAGATGGAAGGGTAGTCTGGGGAAAATCATATCCCTCTTTACATTCAAACTCTATGAGGTCACCATGTAGGAACATTAATCCTTCCTGTCTTCACTTTAACTCTAGGTTGTTTTTGTTTAGAGCAGTTGCATTAAGAATGCATGGGTCTACGAAATAAAAGCCTAGTTCAATAAAAGCAATCAACTTTGGACAATGCTCCCAGATACATGATCTGATTTTCCTGGGTGATCCTTTAGCGACCCAGGTGTTGGACTTGATGGTCCTTGTGCGTCCTTTCCAACTCGGATATTCTATGATTCTATGAAGTGATTTCTTAACTGCCTTTTGCAGGAGTTGAAAAAGAGAAATCTAAATCAGTAATTATAAATTGTTTTGGAATCTTGCAAGAAATAGAACTAAAAGCACATTTAGAAAGAAAGCAGAAGCAAAGAAATAGGCTGAAGTAAGAAATAGAACATGCAAAAATAATAAGCTCAGAAAACACACTTCAGATAGAATTGGGATTCTACAAATATTTGCAAACATACAGCAGCCAGGATGTATAAAGTATTTAGACATCTTTTTTTTTTTTTTTTTTTTTTTTTTTTTTCTTCCTGAAGTTTGTGGTTTTCTTTAGGCTTTTTCAGGTTCTTCAATGTCAGTATCATTTTGGTTACTTTCTGACAGGCTTCTTAGTGCCAGGATCAAATTGGGTAACCTAGCTTTCTGTCCGACAATTAACCTCTAACTTTTGAATCCACTGCTCCACTTTAATAAAGCCTGACAAAGGGGCAGTTGAAAAAACAAATTTCTGCAAGTCTCAAGAGAATCAGTGCTTGACAGAGGCCCTTATTAATGATTTTCTGAAGGAAAGGCAAGGAGAGATTACCTAATTGCACATTCTAACGAATGTGAAAAGCATGGTGTAGAAATCATTTCATTAGAGGAAGGAAAGAAGGATAAACGAAGAACTCTTGTAAGTCATCAGAAGTAGTATTCCTGCCTACATTTGTAAACTCCTAGTGGGAGATCTATAGGTTGTTTTGAGCAGCATACATGGGAGCATCATGGAACAATTAGGAAGTCCAGAATGTCCTCGTGTTTCTGAAATCTGTTAGCTCTAATGAAAGAGAAGAGGGAGTCATTACAAGATTATGTAGAGGTCCTTTCCAGATTTTTCTTTCTACATTACATGTCACTTTTTTTTTTTTTATTCCCTCACAAACCTTACATAAGCAAGTCGGTTGTTCTGTCCAGTTTCCTTCTTTGCAGTAAACGGTCCATCCAAAAAATGGTAAAGTTGGCAACCATATTCTACTGAAGAACCAGCTAAGCAATAGGGGGCTAAGAAGAACACCGTTTTTAATCACCGGTGGAGAGGTACAGCTCTGCTCCATTTCTAATACAAGGAAGGGAGAGATGCAATTAGATCTTTAAAATAATATTAATACTACTGAAACATCAGCAAACCAACTGACTTTGGTCCAAAATTTCCATACCATAAAAGTGCATGTAAGTGAACTTCTATTTAGAAGTTTCAGTTTCAGATGCTCTAGATTTATTTTACTGATGTTCAGACTATTTCTGTGCCTTCTACACTCCTCACTTATGTCCACACTTGACTCCTGCAGGTTTACAGTCAATACGGATTGGTTGCTTTTCTGTGCTGAGATTATCTTTTATTTGTTGCTTGAAATGTTAAACCCATATGGAGTTCAGCATAAACATCAGTGAATTACTAAACAAAGGATCCAAATACTCTTGAATCTGCATGTTCAGAGATTATCAACAGAAGAGGTACAAAATGACTGAAGGTAAACGCTAACACATGAAATAAAATTACATATACGGGACAGACTTATAAGTGTAGTTTACAGTCACAGAAGACAAAGAACATTCACTCAGCTACTGCTATATGAAGCATATGCAAGAGACTTTGGTCAAAAAAATATAAAAAAAAAAAAAGTGTATAAGTTTATATATTTCTAATCCCTCTACACTCCTCACCTATGTCCACACTTGATAACTCCCCCCTCCAAATATCACAGAGGCTCAAGTCATGCATAAGAATTGGGGTCTATGATCCACAGACTTCCCTGAGTTGTTTAAAGAAGAGCACTCACCTTCACATCATGATGAGGCTGTGAGGACACTCATCTCTGACATGACCCCAGACTAAATTCCCAGGCAAGCACATGGAGCACACAAGACAACACACACACTACTTGCTGATCAGCAAATTAGCTGCACACTTTAATTGACGTCTCAGTATACTACCAAAGCCAGCCTGCTTCAGGATGCAAATGTTAATAAAATAACACTGAGATCAACAGAGAACTAGAGTAAGAAGGAAGTACAGTCATTTGAATGGATAAAATGTAAATACTTTTACAAAAATAGTTAAGTGTAAAAACAGCCATACAAAAATTCTAAGGAAAAAAAAAAAAGAAAAAGCAAATTCCAACACAGAACATTGGCTAAGCTGCAAACATGGCACAATGAAACAGCAAACTCCAGGGAAAATTGTGCTCAAATCACTGGGTTGATCCACGGATTGTTCATCTCTCCAGCTGGGTTCCTTCATGCCCTTTCCATTTATCGAAAAGCCCCTGCAGTGAGGAAGAGAGGGAGTAGAAAAGGAATGAACACCAAGGCTGGCACATAGCCATGTTTCTTGAGGGCAGTGGACAGCAAAGTTGCCTAGCATACCCATTGCTTCCGTTTGATTCCCCAGGCCCCTTGGAACAGGAGGAGCCCCATGACAGTCACAAACTGGTAGAGGGTTAAGTGAAGGCCCCTAAAGCTGACCCTCCCTTCTTCTCCACAATTCTACAGAGCACTGCACCCTCCACACAGAGCACTTACGTTGACATCGGGGGTAGTTAATCACTCCATCCTGGCACTGTGCCTCAAAATCCTCTGGGTTTGAGACTTCCCGGTAGGGAAAATAGCATGTAAATGAAATAGTCTCCTTAGAGCGATATATGTTAGATCTTCTCGTCGAGTGTCTTAGTTTTATATTGTTCCTCTTCATAGCCACCTCACTCAAACTACAGTTCCCTTGGGAAGAAAAAAAAAATAAGAGAAAAAAATAGAAAAATAAAAGAACAGCCACCACCACAAGAGAAAGTACTTTCATAAGTTGCCTGTAGACCTCGTAATGCCAACTGATCCTCTGAAGCTCTTGGTACCAGCTGAGTGACTGACACTACTTATTCTCCTGTGCTGCATCCTTGCTGCATCTGTCCCCTCTTGTATCACCTAACAGTGCCGATGATGAAAGGCAAAAGCCCATTTCATACCCTTCAGCAATGTCACAGTAATTGCGGCTTGGGGAAATTGTATGAGGAGGCAAGCACAGGTTTCCTGCTGGAGAAGCCTGTGAAGGCGTGCAATGGGCATTGACCCCTGCCTCCACACACACCAGAGCAGGGCACAACCAGAGAGGAGCTGGGAAGGCCACGGGTGCAAAGGGAGCACAGCTGTGGCTGCAAGAGAGAAGCGGGAGAGAAGCTCTCTGGGACAAAGCCCTGCCTGAACAGGCAGGCCTGGGAGAGCCTGCAAGGAAATGGTCTCCCTCTCTTCAGTCAGGGAAATGGCACCTTCTGACTTCAGAGAAGCCACTTGAAGGGAACTTACCAGCCCTTCCGTCCTGCCTGGAAGCAGATGGGCAGGCCCAGCACCAGTAACCCTGATGAGCCCCAGCGAGCCCATTATTTTTTCCCCAGGCACACTTGCTAGGGGCTTCCCCCTCAGCTTCTGCACTAAAAATGCACCAAGGCAGCGGCCAAGCAGTGACAGAGTGGAGGTGACTTACTTCCTGGCTTGCACCGTGGGTATTCTAATGTCCCATCCATGCACTGCACTCTGAAGGGGGAAGATGCTGGGTCCTGCACGTATCCTATTTTACAATCAAATTCAACAAAATCGCCTGATGTTGAGTACAGCTTTCTTTCTCCTCTCCATCTCAGCTCAATGTTGTTTCTGTCCATATCGTCTTCAGAAGCCGTACAAGCCGCTTGGTAAAGGCAAGAGAAGGATGTGATAAGTTCATACAAATGTACCACACATACGTTTTCTTCTCCTCTCTGAGCCTGCAGGTGTACTTTACATCACAAAACTCTTCCAGCAATGAGCCCTCACCCTCTTCTGCCCTGTCAGCATTGCAGCCCCAGCACAAGCGCTGCTTCACAAGTACAGCGCACACAGGGCCTGAGAAAAAGACAACGAGCAGCTCACACAGCTCTGGGCCACGCAGCACCAGCTTCCACCTACCCAAGCAAACTGGGGGATTTGTCCACTGCCCATCAATGCAGGTGATTTGCTCAGGTCCTTTCAGGATGTAGAAACTTGCACATTTGTATTTCAGCGTTACACCTTGGGGGTATTGTTTCAACTGGAAGGAAAGGATGTCTCCATTTTCAATATCTGGAGGTGGGCCGCATTTTCCACCTTCCCCTGGAAGACCAATAACTGTTCGAAAGAAAGCCATCTGAGTTCAGCTGCAACAGAGGCCTAGTCACAAATTCTTCAAAAGACCTTGTAGGCAGTACTTCAGGAGACTTTAAGGAAAGCAGAGAGAAAACTGTCACCTTGACACCAAATGCCTGGTAAATGGAAAAGCTTCTCATTCATCTCCTGCCAGGACTCACAACTACCACTTCATCCATTTTTCCTTGCTGGAGTGTTTGCATCTTTCTGCAGGACTTGCACTGGTCCTACGTAATGGGGTAGTGTTTTTGGCACAGCTCTTGCTGCAGAAGAGCCTGACTCTCCCCCGCTCCCTGTGCTGCCTGAACAGGGTGGATCCACAAGAGTGGATCAGTTTGCAAACCAGAAAAAATGTCACTGGGCTATACCATTTTGGTTCCTAATGAGATAGCTTTTTGCCTCTGTGGAGCACTTACAGCCACCGAGGAGACTGCACAAGCCAGCATGAATGCATCATGCCTGATTTCTTACTCACTTTTAAAAGTCGGGCCCTGCAGCTTCTTGGATTTTTATACCTGTTGAAGCACCACCCTGTTCTGAAGCCTGGCATTCTAACGGGCGTTGCTTTGAGAAGATCCTGCACTGGGTCACTGGCACCAGTAATGCTGCTCTTTGCACTTGGCACTGTGCTCAGCAACCACAACAGGGAGCCCGGTCTTAATTCATCTGGTATGTCTGCACCCCATTCACCTGCCAGCTGGGCAGTGTCCGAGTCAAATGACACTGCATTTGTTCATGTGCTGAAACCTAGCACATGCCACATAAAATCAAATCAGGGTGCTCTCCCACCTTGGAGCCCCATTATTTTTTCCCCAGGCACACTTGCTAGGGGCTTTCCCCTCAGCTTCTGCACTAAAAATGCACCAAGGCAGCGGCCAAGCAGTGACAGAGTGGAGGTGACTTACTTCCTGGCTTGCACCGTGGGTATTCTAATGTCCCGTCCATGCACTGCACTCTGAAGGGGGAAGATGCTGGGTCCTGCACGTATCCTATTTTACAATCAAATTCAATAAAATCGCCTGATGTCGAGTACAGCTTTCTTTCTCCTCTCCATCTCAGCTCAATATTGTTTCTGTCCATATCTTCTTCGGAGGCCGTACAAGCCGCTTGGAAAAGGTAAGAGAAGGATGTGATAAGTTCATACAGATGCACCACACATGCATTTTCTTCTCCTCTCTGATCTTACAGCTGTACTTCACAAAACTCTTCCAGGAATGAGTTCTCACCCTCTGAGTTTTCCAACAGGAAAGACATTCTTAAGAAGGCAAAAGGGAAAAACAATGACGGCTGAGTCGCCACACACCGCTGTGGAGAGGCCTTTTCCCCCGGACAGTCTCACAGGGCAAGGGGTGGGGGCACCCAGAAGGCAGTAATGTATCTTCCCTGTGTCTTTTTTGGGATCTCTCCTTGCCCTCATCCCAGCACTTCTCAAATTCATTCCCCCATGGCCCTGGATTTCCTTGCACTCAGACCAAACCACCCTTCTGGATCTGCTGGTGACTGGGGGCAGGGAGGGAGAGCAGGCAGCAGAGGCAGCTACACGAGCTGACCTCCAGAGGAAATTCCTTCTGCACAGGAGAAGCACCAGCTGCTCTTCTGCCCTGTCAGCGTCGCAGCCCCAGCACAAGCGCTGCTTCACAAGTGCAGGGCCTGCAGGGCCTGAGAGAAAGACAACGAGCAGCTCACACAGCTCTGGGCCACGCAGCACCAGCTTCCACCTACCCAAGCAAACTGGGGGATTTGTCCACTGCCCGTCAGTGCAGGTGATTTGCTCAGGTCCTTTCAGGATGTAGAAACTTGCACATTTGTATTTCAGCATTGCACCTTGGGGGTATTGTTTCAACTGGAAGGAAAGGATGTCTCCATTTTCAATATCTGGAGGTGGGCCGCATTTTCCACCTTCCCCTGGAAGACCAATAACTGTTCGAAAGAAAGCCATCTGAGTTCAGCTGCAACAGAGGCCTAGTCACAAATTCTTCAAAAGACCTTGTAGGCAGTACTTCAGGAGACTTTAAGGAAAGCAGAGAGAAAACTGTCACTTTGACACCAAATGCTTCATTTTTTCATTTGCTGAAACCTTGCACATGCCTCATGAAATCAAATGAGATTATTCAATGTGCTCATGAAATCCTAGGCACCAACGTGGTACCAGCTGTTAACTCACCCATCAGCTACGGCCCACAGGTAATTTACGACATTCACAAAGGCAATGCTCCACTTGCATTTCCTGGATGTCAGTGAGCAGGAGAGCTGTGAGCATTGTTCTCCAGCACAGACAGCACAATTTCTCACTCTCCTCACATGAGGCATTCTCAGAAAGTAGATTTGCAGAACTGAAAGGTTGCAGTCTCAAAATCAGAGCTGGCCAGCAGTTGCTCTCAGCCTCAGGGTGCTTTTCCAGATGTGGCACCCCTTGAGTGAAGCCATCTGGTAGACTTCCATTAAACACATCCTGCCCACACAAATGGAGGGATACCACGGAAAATCTCTTTTTCCTGAGTCTGACAGATACTGTTGCACTTGCTCACAGTCCTGAGATTTAAATTTGGAGACCTTAATGCCACTGAGCTAGCTTGAGGGCAGTCTTCACTGACAGTCTACTGCATGGAGAGAGAGAGAACTCACCTTTGCACTGGGGCCGCCCTGTCCAGGTCCCATTCTGGCATGTTACTGTGGAAGCCCCCGTCATCTGAAAACCTTGCCAGCACTGATAGTGAGCTGTCTCCCCAGGCAAATACCTTGGCTTTTTAACACCTTGAACTTTTCCACCAGCAATTTCTGGAGGAGGTTCACACGTCACATCTGAAAAGAGAAATTTCTCCACTCAGTTTGTAGGCACTCACGTGTTCCCCTACACAAACTACAGTTAAGAGAATCATCTTGTTACTCCCCAGATGATGTTCTTAAGTGCAAGAGACAATATTGCCTTACCAATGTGACTTGATTCCTTTCCCCCTCTTTTTTCCTTGACCATGAGTGTTTCTAAACACTGTGAACCCCAGGAATGACACTTAATGGCAGCAGAACACCTTCCAGATTCTCAGGAGATGACAGGGACAGTGAGAGCTTCTAGAAAAAGGCAACATTTCTGTAACTACACCCTATGCCACAAAAAGCCTCCTTACAAGGCCATGGTCCTCTGCTGAGAACCCGAGCGCTTCTCAGAATCACAGATGTAGCAGCCAAGCTGGCTCTCTGCTGAACTGCAGAGCTCTGGAAGACATTATCAGCCTGTAGTACTCATGGGACAGGTAAGTAAAGTTGACACCATGGAGGTGTATGACTGCCACGTTGCACTTGTTCAGCCCCCAGCCACAGATTTGGGCAGGGACTAGGAGGATGGCACAGCTCCTCTTCAGAGGAACCTTCTTGCCATTGCAGAACCCAGCCGATCTGCATGTTTTAGTTCCTGAGGCTCTGCTGGGATCTCTGTCATAGTGGAGCCTCAGAGAAGAGCTCCTGTTTCTCTCCTCTAGTGCTTCTGCCATTCCGATACTCTCTGACAGCCCTGAACACAACAGAGGAGCCCTTACACATCTTTCTAGTGAAGGTCAGTAAAATGGTGTAGTCTGGAAATTACTTGTATCGCAGAGAAGAATAGCAAGTCAGCATACTCTAGGCCTTTTTTCTTCAAGATATTTTTGTTCTTGATGAAAATACCCATAGTGTTTCTAGAAGCATTAAGCTGAATTAAAGTTCTGTGCAAGACAGCAGTAGTGGGTACTGTGTTGGGTCTGTCTGAGCTGGAGTCACGGTTTCTCTGCAGCAGCCCACACAGTGCTGTACTCTGCACTCGTAGCTGGAACAGCACTGATATCACTCCAGTGTTGTGTCTACTGCTGCGTAGTGCTGGCACAGCATCAGGACTCCTTCCAAGCCCCCAGGAGCCAGCAGGCTGGGGGTGGGCAAGTGATTGGGAGGGGACATTGCCAGGGCAGCTGACCTAAACCAAACAAAGATATATTCCATAACACCTGATGTCACACTCAGCAATAAAAGGGGGAGCTCTCATGGGGGAAGGGCTGTTCCTCCTGAACAACCACTACACGTTTTGAGGTCCTGCTTCCCAGGAAGTGGCCGAACACCGCTCGCTGATGGGAAGTAGAGAATAATTTTTTTTCCCTCTCTCTGTGCTTCCGTGCAGACTGATTGTTCCTTTTGTTTCTTTTTTTTCCTCCCCATTCCCTTTCCCTTTAATTAAACCTTTCTCATCTCAAACCTCGAGTTCTCTGTGTTGTATTTTCTCCCCCTTCCTCTTTGAGGAGAGGGGGATTGAAAGAGCGGTTGTGGTGGAGCTCGGCTGCCCACCTGAGTAAAACCACCACAGGTACAAAGCTGCAGTACACAAAGAAAACGAAACTATAAAAGGTAATGTCTTTCTAGTATTAAGGTAATCCAAAGGTTTTTTTCTAGTATTAAGGTAATCCAAATGAAGTGAACAGCCATAATGAAAGCACAAATTCCTACCTCTGCAACTTGGCACTTTTGTCCAGTGTCCATCTGAACAAATGACATAATTTACACCCATAATTTGTGAATTACTTTCACATTCATAATGCACCTTGGCACCAGGCAGATACCTCTGCTGTTGATTGCTGGTAATATGAGCATTGAGAATTTCAGGTGGGGCGCCACAGCTAACATCTGAAAAGAGAGGTGCGTTTAAGAATCATAGGACAGGAATATGGCTATCAGAGAATAGCGCATTCAGAAGCACCATTATTCCTGATGAGGACAGATGATTTGCATATGGTAGGTCATTTTCTACAAGTAGGAAAGGAAGATACTATGGGTTTTATTCTGCAATGCTTCACAAGGCAATTCTTTATTTACTTATTTATTTTTGCTTGAAGTGACTTAAAAAGAGAAAAGGAGCTGCAGAGACCAGATGAATGTGCAGGCTGATGCCATTCAGCATTGTGTGCCAAAGCACTGGAAAACAAAGTGGTTTATTTACTATTCGAAGGTAACTTTAAAAGAGTGAAAATTCTAATGATAAGAAAGTGAGATATGTAAGGCTACCAGCTATGTCACTCTTTGCAGCCAGCACCCTTTCCTCCATAATCCTCTGACTGCTTGATCTAAGCAGTGAGTGAAGCTGTGGCTACTGGCTTCAGTCCAGAAGGGGAAAAGATTTCTTTGCTGATCAGTCCTCCTTGGTGCTTCTCAGGCACCAGGAAAACAGGTGTTGTAGCAATCTATTAAAAGCAACTCAATGATCAGCCCTACTGGTCTGACTCACTTACACATATTGGTTGGCATTATATTAATTACTGTTCCTGGAAGACTAAGAAGGATCATAGACTACTTAGAAGTACAACCTATACCTTCACAGATTGGTGGTGTTGACCAAGTTCCCCTTCTGCAAAAAATTTCAGGGGGACCAGTGACCTGAAATCCTTCATGACACTGGTAGCGAACTGTTTCACCAGGCTCATACTTCTCCTTGCTCCTGCCTTCAAATGCAGCATTGGCCACTGCTGGAATACTTCCACATGGTCTTTCTGAAAAGATATGCAAACTTGAAACTTTGGGTAATGCGATGCACATAGAATGACTGTATTGTTCCCACCAAAAAAGATGCCTTTTATAGCATCAGCACATACCATTGTCTAGGGGAATTTAACTAACCACGCAGCCACTAGATAACATACATAGATCAAGTGAGATGAAACCTTGATTACTGTTGACGTGCAGTAGACTACTGCAGGGTCCAAAAAAGTCAGACTCCAAGAAGAAGCATCCTGAAACAGATGGGTGAAAACGGGAGCACCTGCAGGACTCTTCCTGCTGTCTGTTTACCACAGACGTTCAATGCAACTCAAAACAGGGACACGGACTGCTGCAGGACAAGGGAGCTACCATTCAGGAGGAGTTAGGAAATCCAAAGCCCACCTTCTAACCTTCTTCCCTTTCTAGGCAAAGGATCCCTCAGCCATAGGTGCAGGAGATGAAGAACAGAAAGCTCTCAGCCTCCCTTTCCACATGGCATAGATCATGTCCTCCCAAGGGGTTGTGCTTGTGCAGAGGTGGCTCAACAAGGCTTTCCCCACAGGACTGTGCAAGACCATGGCAGTTACAGACTTCAATTTTTTGCTCAAACCTTCCAACTTATCCACTGTTCTCAACTGATATGGAAAAGGACTTTCCCTGCAGGGTGCCTATGTTATACACAAACTCTTTACTGTCATCACCCCTGTGATTTCTGCTTGCATGGGTCACAGCTACTACAGTTCTGCATAGAGAAAGCAATGAGGCGTGAACACCAATGGCAAGAGAACAGTCTTTGGGGTAGCACATTTTGGCTCCCAGTTGCTGTTTCGTAGTGGTACATGGTGCAAGAGAATGAGAAATGTCCACCGTTGCCAAGTCAAACAGCAAAAAAAATTACCCTTACCCAAACACTGAGGTGGTCCAGGCATCCAGACTTTTCCAGTGGCATGTTACCCATTCTGATCCTGATAAAGCATATCCAGGGTCGCATGTGTATTGCACTCTGTCATTTTCCTCATATTCGGATTTAATGCCACTAACAATTTTGCCAAACTCAATGAGAGGTGGGTCTTCACATGCTGCTCCTGCAGAAGCTGTGCACAGGTTTCTGTTATTTGGCTGCACGTTGCTGTTAATATCCTGATTTATTGCTACCACCAATTCCTTCAAAATGAATGACAAGTGGGTGTTTGCATACCCTTCCACCAGAAAATATAAGAAAAATTCTTCTCATCTGATAGATACTGCAGAGTAATCAGACCGTCAAAGAATGGTGCTACACAGGAGTTGAATAATATTCAGATAACATACATGCCTGCATTTGGGAATAGACTGTACTAATAAATCTCCTAAAGCACTTCTAATATGTGCCTGTGTGGAGGGAGAAGAGTTTTGATATTCTGAAGACTATATAATGGATCAATTATAGAGTTTAAAACCAGTCATTTTAGTAAAGAAGTCTTCAGTGAAGACTTTCTTCAGGCTGCATTCATCATAGAACTTACTGGAATAACAAAATAACCTTAGAGTTGTGCAATATTTTAAAATCAAATAAGAATTCTGCACTGAACTGAATAACAGCAATAACAGCAGCTCAACTGAAATACCAAGGAATTTATAGGTAAGTATGTTGAGGGGGTTATGTCTAGTTATAAGTCAGGTTCGCTATGTGAGCCATTAAATTCAGGCACAAAGCAAAGAAGAGAACTCAGATAAAATAATATTCTCAAATATGACATTCTAAAATATAATTCTCATTCAGAACTTCTGAAACAGGTTCCACTAAAAGTGACAAATAATTTATTTTTCAGTTCCTTATTCTTGGTAGTCACTGGTCACTACACATCACTTAAAGCGTGAATTTCCATTTAAAGACTTACCTTTATGTGTAGCACAACACATCCACAGCAGAAACCCTGTTGTGAGGCTCAGAAGGGTCATTTCCACGCTTTAGAAATTAAAGATGTCCTCTGCAAAAGAGTTGCTGTTTCCTCTACTCCAAATTGCATATACTTGTATTCAACTCCCACCTTTCCGAGGGTTGCCCTTGCAAACTCCTCCCCTAATTTTCTTGCGACACAGTAGACATTCTGCACAGATATTAAACAAGCAATTGTTGCAAAAATTCTTCAGTAATTTCTCACAAAACCTTTCAGACTGAACTTGACACAGCACACATGAAACCCATCAGCAAAGACTCAGTGTGTTTATAATGCACAATATAGCACACATCTCGTTTTTCCAGTGTCATCACGTAAAATTTTCTTATGGGCAGAAACTACCATATATGTGGAGCCAAGAATTTATCAACAGCCTTAGTGAAACCTTAACAGCCTAATGAATACACTAACACGTACTACGTTAATACTAGTCTAATACTTGAATTACTAGCCCAACATGACCCTAAGCATTGTTGCTTATGGAGTCCTGGAGTTTTTCCATACCACAGAATGCTTTGGGTTGGAAGCGACCTTAAAGATCACCCAGTTACAAGCCCCTGCCATGGGCGGGGACACCTCCCAGCAGACCAGGATGCTCAAAGCCCCATCCCAGCTGCCCTTCTCAAAGGCCATATGAAGCAAAGAACCCCACAAACAGCATATGACAAAGCTTTTCAGATACCACCGTGGGCCAGCTCTGTCTCACTTCCTCACCTTCTTATCCTCCCGTGCTTCACAAAGACGAGGCTCTCCACTCAGGAGATTTTGTGTTTAGTATTGCACCAAGAGGCCCTGCTCCTGCGGTCCGCTTTTAACTGGCACCATGGTCACCCAGGAGAACAGGCCACTCCTGTCTCTGCTCTGTTATCTGCCACCATTCCTGCCAGTGAATAGATCATTAACTTCAGGTGTCATTTGTAGCTCGGTTCCTGGAAAACACTGAATTACCTTCTTAAAACAGCAACTGTTGATCCAGCAGCCATTTCCAGTCAGCTCTAATATGCTTGCATCATTTCATTATAAGGCATGTAGATAGGATTTTTTTTTTTTTACAAAACAAGAAAAGCACAAGCGTTCTGCCTATGCAGGATCATGCTTTCTTATTTTTGCCTGAGAAAATATAGGCGGATTTAAAAGATCTGATCTCCACACCCAAGTAGAAGACGACTGTTCCTAGCAGAGGATGTGTTTGATCCCTTTGGCTTTGACTCGCTACAGGAGGATGCTCAGCAAGATCAGCCGGCTGCACTGGTGCCACGGGCTGAAGTACTGCTTGAAGGTATGGCTCAGGAAAGAGAGAACATGGCTGTATTTACCCAGCTCTGAAAAGATGAACCTGCTACAAGCAGGGTAGCAAGGCTGCAGTGGACAAATTTGCTCTTTGACATTTGCCAGCCACCCATGTCACGATTTCTGTAGTACACTGGGGTGGGGAGACCAGAGGGTTGTAGAGATTCTGGTGACAATCTTTAACTGGACACACATACAGATAAAACCAAGTGGTTAGAGTCTATGTGATTAGAAAGGTCTCTAGCAGCTTATGCTGACAGCCTACAGTGGAAACAATAGCACAGAGGAAGAGGAACTCCATGTACAGATGTCCAACACCGTGGAGGAGCCTGAGCCCACTACATGCAGGAGCAGCCAGAATCCAGCACCTGACAATGGGCTGGAGAGGCTGTTCTCATGGGGCCAAGGTGTCGCTTTGACAAAGGATCGGTGGAGCAGGGTCTTAGTTCTGCATGTACTGTGGAACAGAAAGGTCAGAGTAGAAAATACTATCCTCCTGTTCTGTCCAAGCCATGGAAATTACTACACTGTAATCATCCAAGGCCCATGAGAACTGACTGAATAATAGAATCCAGGAATTGTGTGTTTATTTTACAAAATTGACATGAGGCAAGCATGTTCTGTCTTCCTGAATTTTCATTGGATCTGCAGCCGTGCAACATTCTCACAGGCCAGAGTCCCAGGAGTACAAACGTGCAAGTGTCACAGCAATCCTACAAAGTAGTTACAGCAGATCATTTGAATAGTTGGAATGTTCTCAAATAGCAAATAAAACTGTTTGCTTCACTTTTCATTTAAGATTAATAATTAACTACTGAGTGGAACTCACATATTTCTATATTTTAAATAGTTTCATCCTTACAGACATTCTCTTAAAATGCTTTCTCCTTTTCTTGTCCCTTGCTCAGATTCTCCATATTGTTATGCATTCTCAAGTTTAGCATTATAAGCCTCAAAGAACTACTACTTCCTAAAATTTCCACACATAGTGTGTCAACATTGCATTGTTCTGGTGCTTTCCCAGTCCTCGTGCCACATATCACTTCCCCACTTCCCTCCCATAGTTGGCTCACAGACAACTGTGCCACTGAACACCCATTTCTGAAAGTCAACTACAGTCATCTTGAAATATGAAGCAGTATTCATGCACCTTTTAACACCAGATAAACAACATACCTTTCCTATGAAATTTCCTGAAGTTCACACTCTTTCCTGAAGTTCACCTCTTTCGACACATCTTGGATACGCTAGCTGGCCTCTCTTACACTGCACTTGAAATAAAGTTGTACCAGATTCTTCTCCAAAATGGTTCCATTTGCAGTAAAATCCAACATAATCCCCATGGTAGAAGTAAACTTGGTTCTCATAAAACCCTTCCAGCAGAACATTATTTTTCTCCATTTCATTTTTTGACAAAGTGCATGGCTCTAAAGAATAGAGACATATTCAGTGTCAATAAATCGATTATTTTGGAAATCATGTCATTGTGGCTGCAATTGACACAGAGAATGCAGGCTATTATTCCCCATTCTCTTAATATACTATACGTGACATCACTGTATTTTTAGACTCTGCAGGCATGTCAGGCTTATGTAATAGAAAAGCCAAAAACTCTTACTCTTGCATCTGTTAAAGCTGTAATCTCAAAATGAAAAAGAGATGAGGTTAAGATCTTAATGTTCCAGCTGACAACACCCAAGTTACAAATGCAAAGCATCTGAGTAGGAGAAACAAAAGCTTATGTATCTTCTCATGCCTACCTATACAAACTGGTGGTGAGGTCCACTGGCCTGCAGAACAGTAGATTCTCTCAGATCCTTGCAAGAAATGATAGTCATAGCAACTATACTGAACTGAAGAACCACTCTCATACTGGGCCAGGGGTGGGAGTTTAAGAGCTCCATTTGCAATAGGAGGTGGAGAGTCACATTTTTCCATCGGAGCTGCAATAACGTCAAAAATCTTTTTGGGAACATTAATCCTTCCTGTCTCCATTTTAGCTCTAGGTTGTTATTGTTTAGAGCAGTTGCATTAAGAATGCATGGGTCTACGAAATAAAAGCCTAGTTCAATAAAAGCAATCAACTTTGGACAATGCTCTCAGATACATGATCTGATTTTTCTGGTGATCCTTACGCGACCCAGACGTTGGACTTGATGGTCCTTGTGGGTCCTTTCCAACTCAGATATTCTGCGTTTCTATGAAGTGATTTCTTCACTGCCTTTTGCAGGAGTTGAAAAAGAGAAATCTGAATCAGTAATAATAAATTGTTTTGGAATCATGCAAGAAATAGAACTAAAAGCATTTAGAAAGAAAGCAGAAATAAAGAAATAGTCTGAAGTAACAAATAGAACATGCAAAAATAATAAGCTCAGAAATCACACTTCAGATAGAATCAGGATTCTACAAATATTAGCAAACATACAGCAGCCAGGATATACCACTGAAGATGAACAGAACAGAAGAAACAGGAAATTTAAGCTATTAACTTAACAAAGTGTTTTGACAATTCATTTGCTTCTTCCCTCCTTCCCCCCATGTTTTGTCAATTTATAAAGTATTTAGATATTTTCCTTTTTTTTTATTGGCTTTTTTTTTTTTTTTTTGTCCTGAAGTTTGTGGTTTTCTTTAGGCTTTTTCAGGTACTTCAAGGTCAGTATTATTTCAGTTGCTTTCTGACAGACTTCTTAGTACCAGGATCAAATTGGGTAACTTATCTTTCTGTCCAACAATTAACCTCTAACTTTTGAATCCACTGCTCCACTTTAATAAAGCCTGACAAAGGGGCAGTTGAAAAAACAAATTCCTGCAAGTCTCAAGAGAATCAGTGCTTGACAGAGGCCCTTATTAATGATTTTCTGAAGGAAAGGCAAGGAGAGATTGCCTATTGCACATTCTAACGAATGTGCAAAGCATGGTGTAGAAATCATTTCATTAGAGGAAGGAAAGAAGGATAAACTAAGAACTTTTGTAAATCATCAGAAGTAGTATTCCTGCCTACATTTGTAAACTCCTAGTGAGAGTTCTAAAGGTTGTTTTGAGCAGCATACATGGGAGCAACATGGAACAATTAGGAAGTCCAGAATTAAGAGGTGGATACAAGGACACAACAAACACAAAGGCTGAAAGTTTAAAAATGAAAGTCCGAGTCACATTCCTTGCTAACCCTAACCAAAAAAGTATTTAGTCAATGACTGCAGTCATTTCTTCTAAACATCTTTCAAAAGACGGGAATAAATCCACTGAATGGAAGCTCAGAAAACTTACTTTAGATACAGTCAGGATTCTACAAATATTTGCAAATATACAGCAGCTAGGGTATACCAATGAAGAAGAACAGAACCTGTTTAATGTAACTTGAAAAGTTTATGAAATAATTATGGAATATTAATCCATCCAAACTGACCTGTTACGCTTGGCAAGCCCTTCAGGGACAGTAGGAGATCATACATAGGAAATTAAACTATTAACCTAACAAAGTGTTTTGGAAATACATTGCTTCCCCCCATATGTTCTGTCACTGTATAAAGTACTTACACACTTTTTTTTTTTTTTCCTGAAATAGAGGGCTAAGAAGAACACTGTTTTTAATCACTGGTGGAGAGGTACAGCTCTGCTGCATTTCTAATAGAAGGAAGGGGGAGATGCAATGAGATCTTTAAAATAATATTAACACTGTTGAAAGCATCAGCATACCAACTGATTTTGGTCCAAAATTTTCATACCAAAAATATGTACCTAAGTGAATTTATTTTTAGAAGTTTCAGTTTCAGATGCTCTAGATTTATTTTACTGATGTTCAGACTATTTCTGTTCCTTCTACGCTCCTCACTTATGTCCACACTTGACTCCTGCAGGTTTACAGTCAATACGGATTGGTTGCTTTTCTGTGCTGAGATTGTCTTTATTTGTTGCTTGAAATGTTAAACCCATGTGGAGTTCAGAATAAACCTCAGTGAGTTACTAAACAAAGGATCCAATACTCTTGAATCTGCATGTTCAGAGATTATCAACAGAAGAGGTACAAAATGACTGAAGGTAAATGCTAACACATGAAATAAAATTACATATACAGGACAGACTTATAAGTGTAGTTTACAGTGACAGAAGACAAAGAACATTCACTCAGCTACTGCTATATGAAGCATATACAATAGATTTGGTAAAAAAAAAATACAAAAAAAAAAAGTGTATATAAGTTTATATATTTCTAGTCCCTCTACACTCCTCATCTATGTCCACACTTGATAACTCCCCCCTCCAAATATCACAGAGGCTCAAGTCTCGTTGTTGAAAGGAGAGCACTCACCTTCACATCATGATGAGGCTGTGAGGACTCTCATCTCTGCCATGACCCCAGGCTAAACTCCCAGGAAAGTACACGGAGAAGAAGCTAGGAGCACACAAGACCACACACACACTACTTGCTGATCAGCAAATTAGCTGCACACTTTAATTGACATCTCAGTATGCCACCAAAGCCAGCCTACTTCAGGATGCAAATGTTAATAAAATAACACTGAGATCAATACAGAACAAGAGTAAGACAGAAGTACAGTCATTTGAATGGATAAAATGTAAATATCTTTACAAAAATGGTTAAGTGTAAAAACAATCATACAAAAATTTGACGGAAATTAAAAAAAAAAAAAAAAAGGCAAATTCCAACACAGAACATTGGCTAAGATGCAAACATGGCACAATGAAACAGCAAACTCCAGGGAAAATTATGCTCAAATCACTGGGTTGGTCAAAGGATCTTTCATTTCTCCAGCTGGGCTCCTTCATGCCCTTTCCATTTATCCAAAAATCCCTGCAGCATAAAGAGAAAAAGTGGATAAGGAATGAACACCAAGGCTGGCACATAGCCATGTTTCTTGAGAGCAGTGGACAGCAAAGTTGCCTAGCATTCCCATTGCTTCCGTTTGATTCCCCAGGCCCCTTGGAACAGGAGCAGCCCCACGACAGACACAAACTGGTAGAGGGTTAAGTGAAGGCCCCTAAAGCTGACCCTCCCTTCTTCTCCACAATTCTACAGAGCACTGCGCCCTCCACACAGAGCACTTACATTGACATCGAGGGTAGTTAATCACTCCATCCTGGCACTGTGCCTCAAAATCCTCTGGGTTTGAGACTTCCCGGAACAAAAAATAGCATTTAAATGAAATAGTCTCCTTAGAGCGATATATGTTAGATCTTTTACTTGACCATCGTAGTTTAATATTGTTCCTTGCCATAGCTGTCTCACTCAATCTACAGTTCCCTTGGAAAGAAAAAAATAATAAGAGAAAAAAATAGAAAAATAAAAGAACAGCCACCACCACAAGAGAAAGTACTTTCATAAGTTGCCTGTAGACCTCGTATTGCCAACTGATCCTCTGAAGCTCTTGGTACGAGCTGAGTGACTGACACTACTTATTCTCCTGTGCTGCATCCCTGCTGCATCTGTCCCCTCCTGTATCAATGCACATTGCTGATGATGAAAGGCAAAAGCCCATTTCATACCCTTCAGCAATGTCACAGTAATTGCGGCTTGGGGAAATTGGAGGAGGAGGCAAGCACAGGTTTCCTGCTGGAGAAGCCTGTGAAGGCATGAAATGGGCATTGACCCCTGCCTCCACACACACCAGAGCAGGGCACAACCAGAGAGGACTTGGGAAGGCCACGGGTGCAAAGGGGGCACAGCTGTGGCTGCAAGAGAGAAGCGGGAGAGAAGCTCTCTGGGACAAAGCCCTGCCTGAACAGGCAGGCCTGGGAGAGCCTGCAAGGAAATGGTCTCCCTCTCTTCAGTCAGGGAAATGGCACCTTCTGACTTCAGAGAAGCCACTTGCAGGGAACTTACCAGCCCTTCTGTCCTGCCTGGAAGCAGATGGGCAGGCCCAGCACCAGTAACCCTGATGAGCCCCAGCGAGCCCATTATTTTTTCCCCAGGCACACTTGCTAGGGGCTTTCCTCTCAGCTTCTGCACTAAAAATGCACCAAGGCAGCGGCCAAGCAGTGACAGAGTGGAGGTGACTTACTTCCTGGCTTGCACCGTGGGTATTCTAATGTTCCGTCCATGCACTGCACTCTGAAGGGGGAAGATGCTGGGTCCTGCACGTATCCTATTTTACAATCAAATTCAGTAAAACCGCCTGATGTTGAGTATAGCTTTCTTTCTCCTCTCCATATCAGCTCTATATTGTTTCTGTCCATATCTTCTTCAGAGGCCGTACAAACCACTTGGAAAAGGCAAGAGAAGGATGTGATCAGGTTATACAGATGCAAAAACAATACATTTCAAACCACATACCCTCCCTGGCCCGCAGATGTTCTTCACATCACAAAGCTCTTGAAGCAATGACCTCTCACACTGAGTTTTCCCATAGGAAAGACGTTCTCAACAAAGCTACATGGAAAAAAAGATGATGATCTAACACATAGAGACCTAAATGCCACTAAGCTAGTTTGAGGGCAGTCTTCACTCACAGTCAATTGCATGGAGAAAGAGAGAACTCATCTTTGCAGTGGGGCCGCCCTGTCCAGGTCCCATTTTGACATGTTACGGTGGAAGCCCCCGTCATCTGAAAACCTTACCAGCATTAAATGAGCCTGCTGTGGCCATTTTACAGGGCATCATTCTGCATGTTTGTATAGCTACTGACCTCAGTGGCACGCAGGGACTCAAGAGCTGCATGAGACAGCTGAGGGAATCACGGCACTGTGTTTCACTTGTAAAGCACCTAGACTTAGAGTTACCCCAAGCAGCAGTGATGGATTAACATGGGTGAAGTGACAATGGATTTATTGTTTTTTAGCGAGAAATTGTGACAAAATGTAAGCACACTCACTCTTACGGATACATCTTGGGAAAGGTGACCAGCCATTCTTTGTGCATGTAACTTCACCACCTGCACTTTCAGTACGATAGTCTTGGTTGCAGACATATTGAATTCTTTCACCTTCCGTGTAAGTATAACGATTATATCTGAAATAACCGTTTTCCAGGTGTGTTACAAAGCATGTTTCTAAAGAAGAAAGGTAAGTACATTTAACCACAGTAATCTGAACAGCTAATACTCAGGTACCAAAATTTAACCAGCTGTAGAGATTTTACCAACTGCTAAGCATGCTGGCCCTACGGATGGATGAAGGAATGCTCTGGCTCCGTTATTGGAGTAACTGCTCCTTTCCTCTGGGTGGGACACCCCTTGTCCCCTGAAATGACGTCCACTCCGCTCAGGGCAACTGGAGAAAGACCAACCTTTTGTTGATCTTTCAGGTCCTATCAATAGGTAGGAACCGAACTCTGACTGAAGATGGGGATTATGAGAGAAGGCATCGGCTCGCTGGTTTAAATATATTCCATCGCTGAAAGATTAAGCCAGTGTATCTGGATCTCTTGCTGCAGCAATACTCACTCTCAGCTTATTGTGAGAGTGTGCCACCTGGCCAGTCCCAAACGTTATCCAAAAAGACTGGGCAGTGAATCCTAGACATTATCCTCTAGACAAAGTGCCCAAGGAACTGAAGGAATAATACATTTACACAGAGAAGATGTTCTTGGAATGTCTTGCTGCATGTGCAGGTGAAAGCAGATACATGCATGGGACACAGAAGCCAGAGATGAAAAACATTTCCTAAATCTTATTTCTCTAATTTTTTTTTTTTTTTTAATCTCAGGGATAGGTGCAGGAGTAATGAACGTCCCAAATCCAGATTTATCATTTCAGCCTTGCTCATTTCAGAGTGTCACTTACCAAGTGGCTGAGCTCTGCAGACAGGATAACAGTCTGGGGGAAGTTCCAGGGTTCAACTCAACCAGTTATACTTTAACAAACGGTACGTTGCTGCTACTTGCATTCCACCAGCACCATTTCTGCTGCACAGATCATCAATAATCATAACAAAATTGAGCATATAGTAGAAGTGCACTTACTGAGGCATTTTGGCTCTGGATTCCAGCCCCCTTTTGAACAGTAAATTCGAACGACTCTTCCTCCATTTGGGGCTAAGTAGCCATTACGACAGTGGTAATCAACATACTGTCCAATCCTCATTGGAAAGTAAGAGTGTGCCATTCTTTCACTTATCTTGCCATTTTCTATCACTGGGTAGTCACAGGGTTTCTCTTGAAATAGAATTTAACAGCAACAGTATCAACACACGCATGGCAAAAAGCTCAGCACACAAAGTCCTAAATATTAATTCAGATACCACTTCATTATTTGAGTGTTTCCTGGAACTGACAGAATCAGAACTGCACACCTTGGCAGATCTCAAGGAGTGCAGGATCAACGTTGCTGTGTTCGATCGATGTCTACAGCTATGCTTTTTGCCTGTTTTCATTGCAATCAACAGAAATCCAGTCCATCTTCTTAGTGGACACTAGAGGCTGATTCATGCAACCAAATGTAAGTATTAATTATATGGTGAGATAACACAGTTTCTTTACAGGGACTCAGCTAAGTGTACTATACTGACACTGATGGGAACCCATGCAGTTAGCTCAGATCTAGACACTAAAGTGCAGAGTCTAGCAATTGTTGTAACAGCTGTCACCATTTTTATTTGTCACTTCTGAGATCTTACACCAAAAGCTCTTTCTAGCTTTACTCTTTTTCATTTTAAAACATAAGTGATATTTCTTTTGTTTTCTCAGTTCCTCAAAAGAGCTTTTCAGGAACAAGTCAGGCTTAGCAGCAGCTGTCATTCAAAGATTACCCAGGGTGTCCTGCTTGGCCAAGGCAGCTAGGTTCCTCCTGACGTGCCCTGAACCAAAGCCCACATGCTGGGGGTGAGGAGGATGGGAAGGAGGGATCAGTCACTGAACGGACCATTTAATAATGAGAGAGGTGGTCTCCAAAAGATTCCTCAATTTCAGAATCTACAAATAGATAAATGCTTAATCCACTTGTTAACAATGTACTTTTCTTGGATAGATCAAATAATTTTACCCAAAGGTTCATTCACAAGACTGATTTTGTCAGGGTTTCTTTCACCTGCTTCTGTTTTGTATGTTTTTCTTTCATTTTCAGTAATCAAAGATCAAAGACCAATAAATAATGAAATCGCTGACTTTTGTTTTTCTACTGCATATAATGGGAAAAACTATAATTGTAATTAATGGAAGTTTAAGCCAAAAAAGAACTCATTACCAATCAATCAAGAGTATTTTGTTTTGCCATTTGACAGAGTATAATAAAGCTGCAATTGTTCATAACATATCAACACAAAACTGCAAGCAAAAATCTAAGGTTCTGGTTAACATGATGAAAAATACCTTCCAACCATCACCTACGCATTGGTTTGGATATTTCAACACTCACTGTGTCCTCTTATCTTGACTGGCATGCTAGTCCTCAGTTGGACCACAAACCTTCCTGTCAGGGAGCTGACTATTGCAGACTTTAATATATAATTTCACAAATATAGTAACAGATAATGCCCGTGTTTATAAACATAATGTACATTTACATTATACCCTTGCTTCTTAGCTGTTTGATGTTTTTTTCCAAGCCATTCACATTAAGTTTTATAACACCAGGAAACACAACGAATAAGCATTTTTTATTTCCTATGGTGCTGAGGTTTTTCTCTTGAGATATTTCCAAAATAACAATTGTGTATATTGTGCCTTCACTCACAAGAGCTACTTACCAACACAATCTGGAGCAGGCACCCAGCCTCTGCTGGTGCATTGAGCTGTATTTTTGCCAGGCAGTGTTCTCAAATGATATCCAGGATTACAGTCTATTGTGATCGTAGCCCCTTCTCTGTAGCTGTCTTCTTGAGGTCTAAAGTTCCCATTGGGAACTCTTGGAGGAGAGCATAGAATTTCTAAATGGAAAGAGAAAAATGCGGTGCTAATTTGAAGAATGCCTTTATATTAATTGCAGAAGTTTTTATCTTCACAGTCTATTGACCAAAATTATTGCATAAAATAACTTTCAAATAGAGATTTCTTAGGGAGTGAGGCAAACACATTCTTTATAAACTGGAGCCATTGTTTTTAATTTTTTTTTTTTACTTGCAATTCAGAAAATCACACCAGCACACTCAGGGCTGGGAGGGGATGATTATACAGTCACCACAAGTTGGTCCTCCTGTGGAGTGAAGGTGGATGAATCAGCTGCATACGTGTGCTGCTTAGTCATCTAGGCTCCTGGTAAGTCAAATAAGATCTAGAACAACTTCAAGGTAGCAAAAAGCTACAGGAATAAAGCAGGACAGAAATTATTTTATATTTTCCTACTATAGAATGACCTTGGAGAGGATTTATAATTGCATACAGCCCAAGTATCAGAGCCCAGTATATCCATGTCTGGAAGAAGGCTTTGTTTGTCACTTCTCAAAAGCAGTATGCTGCTAAACCATAGGCAATGCATATTGATTAGTATCATTACTAATCTTGAAGCAGAAAGTTCAAGGACTGAGTGGGCACTAGGACTGACTACTCTTTATTTCTAAAGGAGTCTTTCTGGAAGAGGTCCCAGGAAGGTTGGTGGCACATAACATCCTGTAACAATGCCCTTTTGCAAACATTTTTTTTCCAGTTTCAAGCGTTCTTTGGCAATTTCTTGAACATGATTTGATACAGTATAAAGATTTCTCCAAAATGTATATCAAATTATTCCAGCTAGGACATCATGCGCATGTCTGTTTGTGGGATTTGGAGTTCTAACGGAAGACTTTATGTACTGTAGCTGAGTGAAACTAAATCAAAATCAGTGACCCAGAGTGCAGATGTCCAACAGGACTGACGTCAGAAATCATGGATTTGTCATCTGAACTGCACAGAAGGTGTTTGGGAGTTAGAAAGCATAAGGGAGTTTCATCACTGTAAATATACGAATTTGTAGAGATCCTTGGACAATTTCTGATGGGAAGTCTGAACATCATGAATAATGTGGTGGCACAATCACAGTTCTGGTAATATTAAACAAACTGCTGTCTTCATCGTAGGCTAAGAGTCATGGACAGCGGCAGGATTCACGCAGACCATGCTACTTTAGTCTCTGCTTATACATCACTTCAGGGCCAGATTGGTTCTTTAGGTTAGCGAATTTCAGACATATTGTACCTAATTCTTGACATAATGTCTGTGTAGAGAGCACATTTCAGCTAGCTTTGTGTATATTGCAACACTACAAACCCACTGTATTTTTCAGCCTAGACACTCGTGGCCATCAATGGACAACTTACCCTTCTGAGACTGGACTACCTCAAATTTGCTCTTATTCCTATGGAAATGGCCATAACCACTTCAGACTGTGGTCCCTACAACCCTGTCTTACTATTTCTTACTATTTCTTTACCTTAAGTGAGGATTTAAATTTGAAAGGTATTTTGAAAGGTACTTTTTGTAATTTCCACTCATTTTTTTTAAAAAGGTGCACAATTTCTTACTGAAGGTCTATCAGTGAAACAGAGACCATTTTTGAATTGTTCCTCTTTCATTGGAACTAGTTTCTCAGAACTAGTAGCTCAGAAATTTCAAAAGCTAATGTAACGATGAGCAAACAGGTGCTCGGTCTACTCAAACTATGGTGAGACTCAGGAACACTCAAGAAAAACGCAGAAATCAGTTCAGTAGGTCAGAAAAACCTACTATTCTATTGTCTTCAAGCCTTCTGTTGTTTCACAGGTTCATACAGGGTGAGATGCTGAGTGGCATTTTACTCTCTTAAAATTACAAGTAGCAGAGTGGTGGCTACGGTGCCACAGCATCTCAGCTACTGAACGTGGAAGACTTGAAGATGCATAAATTTGTAGCTCCACCTCAAAGAACTGCTTGTGATTCATAAGCAAGTAGGTCATCAAGCTGAGAGCCAGTTTTATCCATACTGCTGCAATTCATATGGTATCCAGCATTTAACCCCCTTTTTTTATTTTCAGAACAGCCACTGACTTTCACCACTTATATTCAAGTTAAAAGCAGTATACTGGAATTTCACTTTAAAAAGTATCACGTCTTGATTTGAAGACAATAGGACTTCAGAAATCATATCACTTCTCTAAGTTGGTTTCAAACGTTAATTTTTCTGTGCCATTAAAAATTTCAGATTCTTTCTATAGTTTTAACTTCTCCAGTATTAGTGGTTTTTCTGCTTGCTTCAATAATCTTTTTAATGTCTGATTTTTTTTTCCATCCCTTCACTAAAGCATTTTAACCATATTTTGTAGAAGGTAAAGAGATTCAACTTTATCCTTCCTATGCAAATTAAGAATTATTTATAAACCAAGAGTATTTTTGCTATGTTATCCCCACTAATTCAGAGTCACAGAATAAAAAAGGCACAGGATAAAATTAAGCAGTTTCTAATGCTAAAGTATTTCATCATCCATCTCATTTATGCAGTACATACAAGCAATTCTATCTTCATAGGCCCATCCAACTATACTCAAGTATATGCTTGAGTATATACTCAAGAAAGGCTGAATTAACCATTTTTTGCTATGGCCTCTCATGGAAAACTCATATTCAGTTCTGTTGTCACTCAATTCCCTAGTTCAGATACTACTTCATCATTTGAGTGTTTCCTGGAACTGACAGAATCAGAACTGCACACCTGGGCAGATCTCAAGATTAGAGATCTCTTGTGCTGGCCATGCAGTACATGCTTCCGCCTACACAAGCGAACTGGGGGATTTGTACACTGCCCATCAGTACAAGTGCTTTGCTCAGATCCTTGAGAATGTAGGAACTTGGGCATTTCATTTTCACAGTTGCACCTTGGGGGTATTGTTTCAACTGGAAGGAAAGGATGTCCCCGTTTTCAATATCTGGAGGTGGGCCGCATTTTCCACCTTCCCCTGGAAGACCAATAACCATTACAAAGAAGGCCATCAGAGTTTAGATGCAACAGAAGCCTAGTCACAAATTCTTCAGAAGACCATGTAGGCAGCAATTTGAGAGACTTGGAGGAAAGCAGAGAGAAAACTGTAAACTTGACACCAAATACCTGGTAAATGGAAAAGTTTCCCATTCTTCTGCTGCCAGGACTCGCAACTACCAGTTGTAGTGGGTTTATGTGGCTAAGTTTTGGTAGCTGGGGGCTATAAGGGTGCCTTCTGTGAGAAGAATCTAGTAGCTGCCACATATTAAGTAAAGGCCATGCTGCTGAACAGCGCCAGCCAATAAGCGATGTTGTTTTTAATTCTGTGAGAGCACATTTAAGGAAAAAAAAAAAATTCTCACAGTCCCGACACTGAAATTTGGAGACCTAAATGCCACTGAGCTAGCTTGAGGGCAGTCTTCACTGACAGTGTACTGCATGGCGAGAAAGAGAGAACTCACCTTTGCAGTAGGGTAGCTCAGTCCAGGTCCCATTACCAGCAATCCATCCTGCCTGGAACCAGCCGGGCAGGCCCAGCACCAGTAACCCTGATGAGCCCCATTGAGCCCGCTATTTCTTCTCCAGGCACACTTGCTAGGGGCTTTCCTCTCAGCTTCTGCACTAAAAATGCACCAAGGCAGCGGCCAAGCAGTGACAGAGTGGAGGTGACTTACTTCCTGGCTTGCACCGTGGGTATTCTAATGTCCCATCCATGCACTGCACTCTGAAGGGGGAAGATGCTGGATCCTGCACATGTCCTATTTTACAATCAAATTCAACAAAATCGCCCGATTTTAAATACAGCTTTCTTTCTCCTCTCCGTTTCAGCTTAATGTTGTTTCTGTCCATATCTTCTTCAGAGGCCGTACAAGCCGCTTGGAAAAGGCAAGAGAAAAATGTCATCAGTTCATGCAGACACTTCATGCATCCAACAAAGCACAATGGAAAAACAATGATGGCTGAGTCACCACACACCGCTGTGGAGAGGCCTTTGCCCTCTGACAGTCTCACTGGGCAAGGGGGAAGCACAGCCTCGGGGGGGGGGCACTCAGCAATGAACTTCCCTGTGTCTTTTTTGGGATCTATCCTTGCCCTTGCCCCAGCACTTCTCAAATTCATTCCCTCATGGCCCTGGATTTCCTTGCTCTCAGACCAAACCACCCTCCTGGATCTGCAGGTGACTGGGGGCAGGGAGGGACAGCAGGCAGCAGAGGCAGCTACACGAGCTGACCTCCAGAGGAAATTCCTTCTGCACAGGAGAAGCACCAGCTGCTCTTCTGCCCTGTCAGCGTCGCAGCCCCAACACAAGCGCTGCTTCACAAGTGCAGGGCCTGCAGGGCCTGAGAAAAAGACAACGAGCAGCTCACACAGCTCTGTGCCACGCAGCACCAGCTTCCACCTACCCAAGCAAACTGGGGGATTTGTCCACTGCCCGTCAGTGCAGGTGATTTGCTCAGGTCCTTTCAGGATGTAGAAACTTGCACATTTGTATTTCAGCATTGCACCTTGGGGGTATTGTTTCAACTGGAAGGAAAGGATGTCCCCATTTTCAATATCTGGAGGTGGGCCGCATTTTCCACCTTCCCCTGGAAGACCAACAACCGTTAGAAAGCAAGCCATCAGAGTTTAGCTGCAACAGAAGCCTAGTCACAAATTCTTCAGAAGACCATGTAGGCAGTACTTCGAGAGACTTGGAGGAAAACAGAGAGAAAACTGTCGGTTGGCGTTACATTACCAACTGTTCCTGGAAGACTAAGAAGGATCATAGACTACTTAGAAGTACAACCTATACCTTCACAGATTGGTGGTGTTGACCAATTTCCCCTTCTGCAAAAAATTTCAGGGGGACCAGTGACCTGAAATCCTTCATGACACTGGTAGCGAACTGTTTCACCAGGCTCATACTTCTCCTTGCTCCTGCCTTCAAATGCAGCATTGGCCACTGCTGGAATACTTCCACATGGTCTTTCTGAAAAGATATGCAAACTTGAAACTTTGGGT